TCAAGTGGGATGTCATTAACTGGGTCTTATGGCCTAAGATTTTCAGTGACATGACTGAGAGTCTGTGGGATGAACCAGATGCCATGGAGAAGAAGAGGATGGGGGAACCCTACTTTACGATTAAGGAAGCCTCTGGGAAAGTCTAACATTGGTAAGGAAAATCCTCTCTCTCTCTCTCTCTCTCTCTCTCTCTCTCTCTTAACTGTTGACCTATGGTGCGGGTGCAGGGACTTTCAGCGCATTCTGGGAGACTTCATTTGCATCATCAGGGTCCCAGGAGCTGAACTCCGGGGAAGAGGCTCTCCCGAGCGATTTACCTGAGAGGAACAGGAAGTTAGGTGTCCCTTACCTCGACCATCAAGAGAGGGTTGTTGCGCAACACGTGTCTCCCTTGCAGGTTGTATTCATTTTTTAGGAGGATAAAGTTTCTGAGGTTGAAATTTGGGGGCAGGTTGATCGGGACCTGAAAGAAAAAAAGACCTGTTGACAGGGATTCAACACCGCCTCCCTTTTCATCTCAGAAAAAAGGATCGCTCCATGGGTGGATAGTCCATATGGATGGCGAGAGAAATGTGTTCGGAAGTTTGGGCGGTCGATACCTAATGGTGGAGACCCATATTCACCAGTATTCCCCCTAGGGAGGCACCAGATCTTCCCAACTTCCTATCGAAAATGATGTGATTCGACAGCCTTAACTTCATGCTGGCAGGCATAGGCTATGTGTTTGAGATATGTGTGAAACCTCTGACTGGTGTAACACTCTACTTTTCTATTTCCCATTACCAGACGAAGGCTCTTATTCATGAAGAATAGAAGAGGAAGGCTGCCAGACAGATGGTGGTCGAGGCGATGGAGGGCAAGAAAAAAGTCGAGCTAGAGCTTATTCACCTGTGAAAGAAACTGAGAGATTCGACCCACGTGTGAGGGAAAAATCTCAATACTATGAACAGACTATTATCACGTTGACAACAAAGAATAAGAAGTTGAAGGAAAGGTTGGTCGAGATAATCTCTAGAGGAGAGCACGTGGTGGCTCACTCTGAACATATTCAAGTCGGTCTGGCTTTGGCGGAAGAGCACTTTGTGAAGGGAGGACTGGTTGAGCCCAAGTAGGCTGATATGGACCAACTAGCCTATCTTTTTATCAAATATGAGGACGAGGATGACAAAGCAAATCGGCTAGGAAGGGATGAAGTTGGAAATGGTGGCGGGTCTGTAGCATCCTAGGCCTCATATGTGGATTATATACATATGTATATTTTGTCTTACTTTACATGTAAGGAAAATTTAAAAATGTTAGCCTCGTTCGACAATGCTTGGCAGGCGGATACTTGTATTAATAAAAAAATTTTGTTCATCCTTTGAAGAAGTGAATAGAAGTATTTCCCCATTCTCTTAACTTTCTTTATTTAATGTGTTTTGTCTTTTTGGTTTTTTGTAAAGTGCATACCTTTCAGTAGCTAGCATGTGCTTCTATGACCCAATGAGATTATTTATCTTTCTGCCCCTGAGGCCTATTCAACTTTGGGCTAAGGATTTTACCTGTATACAAATGAGTTGTTTATGTAGGCTAAGTCTTGATCAAGCGAACAATTTTTGTTATTTTTCTCTCTTTTATTTTTAAAGAGTCCTTCGCTTTTTTTATGATTGTATAATTTCATTTTTTGAATAAGTTTCTCTTCCAAATCGTATGAATGATCTGTAGAATAAAGAAATTGAACAAAAAAAGAATATATGACAATGAAGACAAACAAGAAAAATGAATATAAAAATTCTATGCATGATAAACCTCGTGTGATAGGTCAAGAGTGTTCGTCCAAACAAGATCGGACAGAAACACCTTGAGCCAAATATCCACAAAAGAATGCCTGCATATACTACTCAAACTAGAGATCTAGGTGTGTTTGACTGTTTTGTGGTCCAGAGTGCTCCAAAGAGGATGTGTCCCTCTTGGTTAATTACATCTTCGGGGTGCCTAAGAACACTCTTGGTCCAAGGAGTTCAACTTATATTTGAAGTGATGACTAGTGGTATGAGAGTATGGTCTATTTCATAGGAAATATCCCCACGCTTTCTTCGCTCGCACTAAGCTACAGGGTAGAGAGTAATTTCTTGCGGCCCCAAATGGTTAATGGCTCATAGAAAATCGAGGCCCTTGAAATAACCAAGTCATTTGGTTGGAAACATCCCACCGCTTCAAAACTGAACCGGGTCATATGGGTAGAGGGCAAATCGTCGTATATTAAACGAGCAGCGACCTGCCAACTAAGTAAGGCCCACTAAATAACATCAATGAAAGCAAGAGGAACGACAGGGCTCAAAGTGGATAGTCAAAGAATGAGATGAATAATTCTTAAACATGTAGAGGTAGTTGGCTTGGGTGTCAGAGACTCATCATCTCAAGCTACTAGGACCCTAATTCCACCAAGTCATGAAAGTGGTTGACCCAACACATCCTGAGAACCTTTGTCGGCAATTCGTGTGGTGTGTATTTTTGGCATGACTCCCTGCAAGAAGATCGGTCTAATATACTACCATGCATATCAAAATCAATAAACATGCAAGCACACCAAAAGCACAAAATGTGATACCTGGCTAGGGAAACTAAACTAATAGAGAACTATAGCCAGGACATCAAAAAAGACTGCCTAGCATCCTAAGCCTTAACCTAGCACATCATCTAACGCAGTGTCCTAACACAACATCTAAATGAGTGCATGGTTATGTTAGAAGGCTAGCATATGTTTTGACGGAGTCATTGTCACCGGCTCCGTTCTAAGAATCCAAAGATTCTATGAGGTGTCACTAAATGCAGGTTTTACGAATACTTGAGTTTTAAAAGTTTGTTCTCACATATTGTCTAAGGTAGGAATGGAAATAATTTCAAAGTAGATGTAAAAATATGATGCATAAAGTAATAAAAATGTAATTCTATTTTTAAAAATAGGTCCTCAGAAAAGGAAAAAACTAAATGGCACCTATTAGATCCCTTAGAATCTTAGCACAACATACGCACATTGGTCCATGATGAGACAACAAGTATTACCCACCGCGTCATCCTCGTGGGCAATACTAGTTGTCGCGTCACGATCGGCGGAGGGTCACTCAACTAACGAGCCAACTTCGTCATTGAAAAGATCAGAGAACACATGCAAATGCAAAGTGATCGAAAAATAACAAACATTCACCACTAGTATACGGTGTGTATACTACTGACGAATGCGCTAGCAGTGTCAAATGATGCACGCAAAACATACAACATACGTGAGATGAGTGTGTCGTGGAGGCAATGAATCAGAGAGTGGGTATACCATGAAGACGGTGACCTCGAGGGTGGGTATGGCGTGGAGGCAGTAACCTAGAGGATGGGTGTACCATGTAAGCATTTACCCGGAGATATGAATGAGCATGAGGCACAATGACTTTAGGGGATACCCTGTAGCAATCCAATGTGGTGCCATATGAAAGAAGTGAAGTAATTCTCGTTAGAGAGAATTATACACCAAGGAGACTTGATATGCAAGTCGTCCCCGATATGGACCCATGGGTATACGGGGTGGGTGTGCAAGAAAATTGACCTAAGTAAGACTCTAACATTCAAGACTATGGGCATGTAAGATGACATGCAAAGTAGATGTGTGAGAGTGCACTAGTGCAAGTACAGACACTAGCGTTATGGTGCTCCATGACATGCGAGATGTCGAGGAGCAAGTACGTAGAGTAATGTGCCCATGGGAGGTAGGAATACTTGCTATGAGCATGTGAAGACATATGCTCACAAGTGCGCAGTGAAGGTGCAAGTGTGAATATGCTAAATCAAGCCATGCTTTCATGCAAGCATACACAAATGCAAAATTCAGATGCAAAGAGGGAGTTTGAGTTGAACGAGCCGGCGGGGTCGACTGACTGAACCAACGAGACATGATGATAGATCCAATTGGGTCGGTGGGATCGATAAAAGTAGCCAGTTGAGCCGATCAGGCTGGGGGGGCCAATCAGACGAGCCGGTGAGACAAGGATGGGTGTACCATGTAAGCATTTACCCGGAGATATGAATGAGCATGAGGCACAATGACTTTAGGGGATACCCTGTAGCAATCCAATGTGGTGCCATATGAAAGAAGTGAAGTAATTCTCGTTAGAGAGAATTATACACCAAGGAGCCTTGATATGCAAGTCGTCCCCGATATGGACCCATGGGTATACGGGGTGGGTGTGCAAGAAAATTGACCTAAGTAAGACTCTAACATTCAAGACTATGGGCATGTAAGATGACATGCAAAGTAGATGTGTGAGAGTGCACTAGTGCAAGTACAGACACTAGCGTTGTGGTGCTCCATGACATGTGAGATGTCGAGGAGCAAGTACGTAGAGTAATGTGCCCATGGGAGGTAGGAATACTTGCTATGAGCATGTGAAGACATATGCTCACAAGTGCGCGGTGAAGGTGCAAGTGTGAATATGCTAAATCAAGCCATGCTTTCATGCAAGCATACACAAATGCAAAATTCAGATGCAAAGAGGGA